TAGACTCCAGTTATAAGATTATAAATTAAATTTCCAAGAGAAAGTCGGTTCTTTACATATTTTCTAATTACCTTCGAAAATATATTAACTCAAAAAAAAAATAAACAATGCTTCATAGATCGATTTTTTTAAATCTAACTTCATAAAGTTCTTTAAAAATATTTTGTAAATGAGGCCATAAGAGCTTAGGGGGAGAGTTACAACACAAAAATACATTTAAGGCGCAGCGAAGCACGCCGGGTAATTGCTAGTTTATTAAAAAATTGATGTTTGCAACAATTCTTTACCAAGAAATACGTTAATAAAATTTTGGAAAACGGGCGTGGCACCGCCCACTTATGATCACATACATATATGTATCTCGGTAAACATTCTACCAATTTGTACCAAACACGGTATGGTTATTGTGCTTGCCACATAAAAGCAAAATGTTGAAAATTATTGAAATCGGACTAAAATTGAGGCCAGTTTTCATATGACGGAAAATTTCAGAAATGTTTGAAACTTCAATATTTCGAAATTTAAGGACGCTTATTTACTCAAAATTGATACACCCCGGCTTTCCATGTAGCGGTAGCTTTCGGAAAGGTGAAAATCATATATTTAATACTTGCGTCGGGTATTTAATGTTCGGCTCCGCCTGTCTGTACTTCCTTTATGTACAATGTGCAAGTGTAAAGTGTAATTAAATATATAAAAAAAATAAATACAGTGGTCAAAAAATTATAGCCGAACCACTTTTTGCCAAGTTTTAACGTATTATTTTTGTTCTTATTTAATTTTGGTATTTTTTTATAAAAATATAGTTCATTATTTAACAAACCCATATAAATCCAAGTTTCCAACTTTGTGCAATATAAAAAAACAAGTAATTTTTAGCAAAAAAAAACCGACTTCAATTCTCATAAAAAAAATATATATATATAAATATCTCATGATCCAATGATCGGATCTAAACCAGATTAGTATGGGCCACCTCTGAGACACTACCCCCGATGCATCGAAATCGGTTGACGTGGTCCAAAGTTATAATAAAAAAAAAATATTCCGACGAACTGATAACCTCCTCCTTTTTTGGAAGTCGGTTAAAAATCAACAAACTGTCGTACAAATTTCGAGCTTTTTAAAAAATTCTAAAAAATCAACCGTAATTTTTAGCCATTTGAATCTTGTAATTATTCCACAATTCAATGGGCTACAAAACTGCAGAATCTAATTAAAAAACTCGAAATTTTTACGAAAATTTGATGAATATATATTTTTTTAAATTGCATAAATTTTTAAGGCAGGGTCACTCGATTGGTACATTTGTACAGATTTTTATATTTTTATATTAGGCTATTGGTAGAAAATAAGAAAAAATGGGACCATTTTTTTTTTGTAGTCAAAAGATTGATACAATATAACAATCTTCTATTGAAAAATTTCAACAAATTATTTTTCGTGACTGGGATAAAGAAAAATATTTTGGTATTTAAACAATTGGGATACGATTTGCACAAAATTTCGGCAAAAAAAAAACCAATCGTGTGACACTGCCTTTAAACTTGTATTTATACGGATGTTGCTAAAGAATGAAATATAAAAAGCTAACCAAAATTAAATAACAGCAAAAATAATATTTTAAAACTTGTAAAAATTTGGTGCGCCTATAATTTCTCCGACTACTGTACATAAGTTGAGTATTCGGCGTTGCTATCTATACTACGTTTATCCGGCAGAATTCTTGAATTCTTCATTTCATGAATTCAAAAATGGTTCCGTTTATGCATAACTCGCGAATTCATGAACTGAAGCGTTTTGAAAAAGTGGCAGCGCACTAGCGAGAAACTAAACAGTAGAGTTGTGGTATTTTGCGACTATTTTGAATGTGCAAAAGCTGTTGGTAGCAGAAAATGGTCCATGTCCATTTGAATTTCTTCTATTTGAACAAATTCACATAACTTTTCCAGTGTTTTAAAATATCATTATGCCACTACAAGCTTTTGAATATAAAAACGTCAGAACCCTAGTAAAGAGCTATTTGTGAAACGCGGCGTTGCTGGCCTAGCACTTCACGAGTTCATGAAATGATGCCGAAATTCATGGTTGATTTTCGCATATAATTGAATTCATGCAATGGTTTTTATGCAGCCAATTTTAGCCCAACTTCGTGAAATGATTTCGTGAATTGGCCTACGCATAAACGTAGTAATAGTAGCACAATGCCACTAATGTTTGACTTACAAACAAAATACGGGCACGAATTTCACAATTTCAACCCTTTTTGTGTGAAATATTTTATTTTTAATCAAACTATGTTGAAATAAAAGTAAAAAAAAAAATGTGTCAGAATCCTCCGAAAAAAAAATCCTGCCTACGGCCCTGATCCCTAGTATGTTCTATACCATAGCACATTAGGTCAAATTATTACTTTTTCTGTGTGAAATTATTAGCAGCTAAAATATAGCATTATTTTAATGTAAAAGGATGGAAACCGTTTAAAAAAAGTGTAAAGTCAGTAAATAAAATGTAAAAAACATGACCTGGATTTCGTAAAAAATTTTTTTATGTTCAAATGATCAGTATATGTGTTTAGGTAGTTCTCGAAAACATTGTCCAAATAGCCTGGTTTTGAAACAAGTTATTTTCTTACCATACTCAACCCGGAGGGGGTTGAGCTACATAAATAAAATAAGTATGGTCATATGTATATAAATGGTTTCATCTAGGGATTTAAAAAATATATATTATCGAAGTTCCTTAATTAAAAAAAATATATTTACTACATGTCTCGCAGATATACCTTGAGGAGAGATTCCTAAAGCAGTTAGTCTTCATAAAACACTTCATTTTCATTTAAGATTTTTCCCAAATTGTCCACCGATATTATTTATATTCAGAATGCAAATGCTGCATTGTAACACATTTACTAAAAACCGCCCTTAACTTCCTGAAATGAATACGAATATTTTTGAAACTAATTTACGAAAATAATGTTCAAAGCTCTATTCAACTTGAGCAACTAATTCGAAAGTGCAATCCGTAGATTCTCTCAAGGATTTGCCTGTTTACGAAGGCTGCTCATCAATAGTCTTTGCGAATCGGCGCGAGTGTATTTGTAACATAGCTATGCTACAGGAGATGGAATGTAATCCAAATTGAGGCTGGTCTTTTTTTTTTTGCTATCACATACTTCCATTTTTACTATATATCACCACTAAAATGGACTATTTACCTCCATTAAAATGCCAGCAAATTTTGACAGCTGCTGTTAGGGTTGCCAGATTTTTTATGCGCGAAATCAGTACGTTAGACTTTTTCATGTTAAAAAAATCAGTACTTTTCAGTACATTTTTATTCAAAGCAAAATTATGAATGTAAATAACAGAAAATACTTTACAACTCCAGAGTTCTTGTTTTCAACAATATAAATATAGTGCATAATAATTAAAAGTGTATCATGTTAAAATGAGTGTGCACACCATTATACACAAGGGCAGATAAATTATTTTATATTTATTACATTTTTGAATAGCAATAATGAGATCATTCCCATTTTCAGTGTTTAAATATTTAGTCAAGGAACTCAATACATTTCAAAATTACTTCTAATTTGAAGTTCACTTTAAAAAATTTTAAATAGAAGCCGATTTCCCTCTTTAGGCCAGAAAACAAACTTTATTCTTAAGATCCTCTCAGTTGCTTCGTTTGAGTGTGGAATTGAAAAAAAACAAAATGAAGTATTTTTTCAAATTGTGAACAGTACCATTTTTTAAAGACTTCATGT